CGCCCCGAGCGGGAGGGGCGCGGTGAAGCTCCGGGGCGGGGAGGGGCCCCGTGGCCGAGCCCCCCCCCCGGGGCAGCCCTGCAGCCACCCCAGCGGCGCCGCCAGGACAAGAGCCTCGGGGCAGGTGATTTGTTCCAGGTACAAATGTACAATTCGAGGCCGCCGAGGGGAAAACGCTCGTTTGCCGCTGGGTGTGACATCAGGGTCCGGCTGCAATGACATCATCGGCCACGAGGCAAGGAGGGGCCGGGAGCTTTATTGCGAGTGAGCTATCGGGGGCCTACACCTCACCGGGGGGGTTGGAAGTCTGGAAAATGGTTCATGCAGAACGTTATTGCCTCTGGGGGCTGCACCCACCCCGCCCGGCACACACCTCCCATTGGACACGGACTGAAAATGGGGAAAGGGAGGCGGGATCTCCCTGGAGGGCTCTATCAACTCAGGAATTCTTATCGCGATTATGAAATGTGGTGATGAACAAGTTATTTCCCCAAACCCTGAAGACGTTTTCCTTACTCCAGATCTGGCATTTCTAGAGAGAAAGAGCAGAGTGTTACCCGGTGGGTTAGAGACCCCAGCCCTGTCCAGGGTGGGGAAGGGACGAGAACATTCACTTACTTTCATCATCACTGTCTGGTGAGTCCTGGAAAGGAAAAGAAACACAAGCTGGAGCAGCCTGTGCAGCAGCCCCCCCCACCCCACCAACCAACAGCTGCTCCCGAAGCCCAGCAGCAACACTGGGGAGGGAGCTCCAGGTGCCACAGCCCCCTTGTGACCCGTGTCTCCATAGGGGTGGGTGGCACCAGCGCCCCTGCCAGGGGACATGGGTGTCACAGCTTGGGGCAGTTCAGCCTTTTGAGAGAACACGAGTCTGACCTCAGCGCTGAGCCCCGTGTGTCTCTGTGACAAACCGAGCACTTACATCATCTGCCCCGTCTACTTCTGGCAAGTCTACATCGTCATCACCACCCATGTTGTTCATCATCTGCTCCAGAGACACAAGGGACACATCACAGAGTGAAGCCAATTAACGGGAGCACCATAAAAGCCTAAAAATAGCTTAAAACCTAAACCCAACCAACCGGCAGAGCCAGGGGAGCACCCAGAGGAGGGGAGGGAAACCTCCCCTGCAGCTGCTGGTCCCCACCTGCCCCCAGCCCAGGGGAACACAAACCACTTCTCGCACCTCGGAAAAGCGATCAAAGTTGGACATGTCCTCATCTGAATCGTCCTCCCAGTCTTTCCAGTTGTTGAAGTCCACGCTGAGCCAGTTGAGCTGCACACAGACACAAGGAGGTATTTAAAGACAAGCAAAGTAACGAGCTGTTACTGCTCAGCAAAGAAGGCTGAAAAGAACTGCCCTTCTGCTCAAAAGCATGGTAAGTGACCCATTAATTGCTACGTAATCTAAACATGACCCAAACACTGAACCAGATGAGAATCCAGGGAGGCACCAGGCAGCCCTGCCCAGACCCACCTTCGCCCGCTCTTTCGTTAACCGTGGCCACGCCTGCCCCGATTCGCCTTTTCGTAAACAGCAGAGGATGGATCTGTCTGTTCTTTTATGCTTTGACTCCTAGGAGAGAGCAAACACCCGTCAGAGTAACCACCACGAGCCCCACCAGCAGCTGCTGCCAAGAGACTATTTGGTCCCAAGCACCAAGTGGTTCTTTGTCCTGACAAACAAGGCCCAGAGCCACTTCAATGGCCACAAGGGGCCAAGGAACAACCTGCCCAAGAGATTGGGAGCAGCCCAAGGAACTGGCGGTGGATTTCAGGACACAGCACCAAGAACATAGCAAGGAGAGCAGAGAGGATACTCACGTTTGGATCAATATTATTAAAAAGGTCGATTTCATTTAAATGTTTAAAGTTATCACTTCCTCCAAGACAACTGTGGAGAGAAAAGTGTTTATGTTTAGCAGGAAAGGTCTTAAGAGCAAATACATCATTAACATAACTTGCTGCTTTTAAAAAAAACGTCCTCTGACCCCCCTCAGGGTAGCCCTGGGGGATACCTCCACCTCCCCCAGCTCCACTGGACTCACCTGAATGACAGTTTGGATTTTTCAAAATTTACATGAACGTCTTTACTGTCCTCAACGCAGAACTCGACGAAGACGTAGTCCCTGCGGTCGTACCACTTGGCGGAGGCGGGGCTGGGCTGCCTGCGGGGACAGCGACCATCACACCAGGCTGGGAATCTCCCCCCAGCCTGAAAACTCACCTCACCTCCCACTGCAACGACCACAAGGGCTTTCCTTACACTTCTCCTACTTTATTTTTTTTTTTTTAATTGCATTTAGAGAAGTTCAACTAAAAGATCTCCTCCTGTCCTCAGAAGCTGCATGACCAACTTGTTAACAATCTGTAAAAGGTGTTTAAGGCTGAAAAAGGATGTGAAGAATAAAGGGACACAAAGCATTTGCTGTGTGACACCCCCAAAAGCTGGTGCTCCTCAAGAAGCCACCAAGACCTGAGAGACTGAGATGAGCCTGACAGCACAACAGTCATGACCAACTTCCCAAGATGAGCTGCTACAGACCATGGCTACACCCCAGCTGTGTCCCCTGGAGAGGTGACACCAAGCACGACCACGACCACTCATCAGCCACTTTCTTGCACACCAATGGTACCAAAAAACAGAGCATGCAGCAGCTCCGTTGGCAGCAGGACTCGCTGCCAGCCAAGGTGGGAGTGCCGGAGGCTGCCCTGGTTCTGGCTCAACCTCCTCCCATCCAGGCTCCCACTCCTCTGCCTTCCCAACCACCACCAGGAACCACAGCCCCACAGGGCACGAGGACACACCAAGGAGCTTGACCAGCCCTCGAGCACAGGCAGTTCTGTGGTGAGCTCAGCTGCCAAGGCTGGTGGGGGAAGCTTGGCCTGGCTGCCCAGCACCTCCAGCGCTCCTGGCAGCTCCGGCCCAGCCCGCGGCACGTCCGCATTCCAGGAGGAAGGCAAGAGCCGCCCAGTGCCAGCAGCTGCTGCCAAAGCACAGGAGCCCCTGTGGTCTCCTGGTGTTTCCCCAGACCAACTGGGTGAGGTTCTGCAGGACATTGTCACCGCTGCCTGCAGAGCCGAAGCACATGAGGACACAACAAACACCAATATCCCTCCCCGCAGGTGACAGTGGCTCCCACTGCACCCCTGGAGTGGATGTTTACTCTCTGAGCTGCCCTCGGAGCAGCTCAGCACAACAGAAGAGTCATTACCTTTTCAGAGCCGTCACTATGGTGACCAGAACTCACCTCCATCAACTGATTCAATCCTTGTCATGGAATGGCACCAGGAACTCCACAGGGAAACTCCTGTCCTGTACCCCAGCTCCCTCCTGTCCCTGCAGGACAAGTGGTGCCAGGGCTGGGCCTCCAGCCTCCATGTTCTCCCAATGGCTGTGGGAGCCCCAGATCAGGGCCCATAATGGAGCATTTAACAGAGGGGAAACCCCAAGTGATTCCCAAACACAACCTTCAGTTTCCAGCACGGTCCTGTCCCACTGGGAGAATCCCTCTCACTTTCCCTTCAGCAACATTTTTAGGACATGCCACGGCATCTCCTCAATCAGGTAATGTACCACAGCAGAGGAGCAATTTCCTTGCTATGGTATTTTTAATTCCTAATTTGACACAGGTTTCCTCTTCTAACAGGGAATAAAAGACTCCCAGAGGAAAAAAAGAGGATGAGAATGACCGGCTCTGCTCCCTCTGTTTCTGGGCATGGTGCAGCAGCCACTGCAAGGATGAGTTCCCACCATGTGTGACTGGGAACATCCCTCCAAGGCTCCAGCGACCGCAGTGCGCCTGCTCGGGGGGGGCAGGGGCTCCTGCTCAACAATACCAATGCTCCACAAACATTCCCAATGTCCATGGCAATGTCTCTAGCCTCCCCAGGGAGTTGCACACATTCCTCAGTCCTGTAGCTTCGGTTTGGCTGTGACCTCGGTATCTCTGCCAAGATCTGGGGTTGTGAGGCACCAACAGCACAAACAAACCTCATGGAGCGTCCTGGAGCTGAAGGGCACTCATGTGTCCAAGCACAGGGATGAATGGAAGGAAAAATCTACCAGAACAGAACCTCTTTCTGGCACTAACCACATGTTGTCTCCCCAGATATTCAGAACTTACAACCCCACTCACCCACTGTAATTAAAGCTGCTCTGGAGCTGCCTCTGGTTCTGTTTATCTGTTGTTCAAATCTCTCCTCCTCCCAGATGGAGGACGGAAACCTTCCCTCTGCCATCCCTGAAGCACTTCTATCAGGACTTACTGTTCTAACCAGTATGTCAGGACACACTGGTGTCCAAGCCAAGGGTGACAGGGAAGTGGCAGCTCATCTGTGTTCCTGCCCACATGGAGATCCCGACATGGAGATCCCTTGGAGACAACAGCTCTGTCAGAAGCCAATGGCAGAGCATGCACGTGCTCCCGGCGCTCAGGAGACGGTTCCCAACACCCACACAGCGTTTTCTGTTCTCTCCCAGGCTCTGGGAAGCACTGCCAGGGCTCCTGAGCACAGACACTTGTTGCTCCTCCTCACCCAAACTGACCCCAGGGCCTTTAGCCAGTGGAACCAGCCTGAGCTGCTGCTTCAGCTCTGCATCCTCCCCGTGTCCCAGCGGGATTTATTTTTCTTTGAGACACAGAAGTCAACTTCCAGGTGCTGTGTCCTGCCCAGCCATAAGCCACAACAGAGCAGCCCAGGAACGGGTCACCTGTCTGCCCCTCGGCAGGATTTCTCCCATCAGATCCACACCTGCTGCCACGCGTGTGTCCCTGGAAGCAGACATGGGGTGACTGAGTCTGGGTCTCACTGCTCCTCCAGTCACCACAGCCAGGACAGCAGCACCTACTACAGCTTCTAGAAGCTTCAGGGCAGCAGCTTCCCAAGGTGCAGGTTCAGTTTCCCCCAGAGCCGCCGCACAGCTCGGCCAACCCCCCAGCTCCAGAGCCACCATCCCAGAGTGTGTTCCCAGGCTCAGCCACAGGTTCTGACCCAGGGCTGCACCTTGGGCCTCCAAACCCATCCTGCTTCCCCAGGAGCTGGGCTTCCCTTCCTCCAGAGCATCCTGGCAGTTCCTACGGACTCAGGATGCTGCAGAAGTCATCTGCCGAGCAAGACTTTTGCCCCCAGATGGCAGGAAGGAATCTGGTCTATAGAATTAGTTTTACTTTCTATTGTAAGTCCCCAAAAGGCTATTCTATTTTTTTAAATTAAGCTAGTTTTGGACTGCAGACAGCTCTAAGTGGGATGAAGCAGAGCAGTAGTTTCAAGATGATGTATCCTATAGATATCAAGTGAAGAACTCTGACTTGATGTCATCCCCCATTTTCGGTTGTTCTGAGGCAGCCACCCCCCAGCCCGGGGTTTCCAAATGCCAGGGGGTCGGGGGGGGGAGGAAACACAGCCGGTCCCACCGGCTGTTAACCAAGACCTAACACTTTCA